GGGTAGGTTTTTTTTCGAGGGGTTTTGCCCGGACGCCGGGTTTCCCCTCCATATATTTCCACGTTGGTATTTCTGATGTATCCAGGGGCGTTCTTGCCCTATTGATGGTTGGTGACTTGCGTGAAGAACCAGGGAGGGTGTTCGTGGGTCTGCGAACATTGGTGTTGGATACATGTGTTGTATGATTTGGTGTCACGCAGGCTGGTAAGATTGCCGTTTGTTAGGGGGCATCGCGATGATTCACGGGGCCCCTCCTTGCTGTGGGAGCCGCTCTTTGAGCACTCCCTCTTTCGTCCGTGTGAAGGACGGTCGTCTACCTCTCGTGAAGTTTATAGATCACCAAAACAGTCTCACCCGATACATAAGTGGCGTAGGCCGCAAACAAACAATGTGTCGGTCGAAAACCTTGTCGGTCCGAGGGTATGTAGATCTGTAGTCTAGTCTACGTACGCAATGTATTTTTCGCTCGGTCTCTTGCCACACCACGAGCCAGAACAAATGTACACGTGGGTGCATATGATGAAAGCAAAACAACACCAACTCGTATTTCCACAAGATAGATGAGTACGTGATGATAAGGCTACTGCAAAGATGTTTCACCTCTCCCTTCAATACATGTAGTTCTAAGCCTTGACTCGAAGTATGCTGTACTTCAAGTACCATCGTTCATCCGGACACAAACTCACGGCACAGCACTTAAACATCACAATCACAGAGTGCTGGAACGTGCATGACGGAAACCACCGAGGGACGGATACTCGTGCCACTTGCGGAGCCCAAGGGGAAATATGAGGGCGTGTGATGGAAAGCACATGTTTACTCAACAGCAGCCGCAGTCCGTGGTGTGTGTGTATGTACCTTGGAAAAGACAGAACAAACAGTGCGAAAAATTGCCATTCAACGTACCTGCATTTCTTCAATACGCCGAAGCGCTGAGAATTTCCATTTGTCCGAAACCCCCTCCATTGGGTAAGCTTGCTTTTCTGAGTAGGAAGGTCGACTGTGGTGCAGCTCCAAGGACGCATGACCACATGACAATGCGCGGGGTGAATAGGACTGTAAAACGCGGCGCGATCAGGTTCCATCAACCGGCACGTATCCAACCGCCGGAGCGAAGCGACAAGGGACACCCAAACCTAGCTACTGCTGTGTGCGCTGGTGGTGATAGGCTGCCCCACGCACGGCGTGGACTTCGGTGATTACCGCGGGCTCAAGGCTAGCCTAGCCACGGTGGAACCCTTATGCTCAGCAACGATGGCATGAGCTGACTACCATCGAACAGCACGGTCGATAGAGACGCACCGGGGAAACACAAGGAGCAGGAGTGGTGTCTACGAATGGCTTGACCGCTCCAGTTGTGGCCACGACCTAGACCCAGCTCGGGTGATACAGATACCGATTATGGGTCTCCCCCGAGTCTCGTCGCCAGCGAAGGGCACCCTGGGTTCAAGTCTTCTGGGGCGTTTACTAGGAACGTCGTCTGATGATGGTTTAGAGTCGTCTGAAGAACCGCTGCCACAGCCTAAGTTCACGCAAGGGGACGAGCCTCATACACCCCGGGCAGGGTCACCGGGCTTTCAAAATGGGCACTGGGCAAGTGATTTTTGTCCGGTCTTGCCATATTGTCGAGGTGTCTGGCAATATTCCACTGCCAACATGCCACGTGGGGGGACCAGAACGAGTTGACAAACGGCTGCATACCACATGCTATTGCTTCGAAGTATTGTACAACAACCACCGGAGCGATGCGCATGTCAACGTGCACGTAAATGCTCACTGTAAAGACTACAACACATCCAGTTCGACTGTGGTTATAATTCGAATGGGTAGTATTTCTGTGTTTGTATTTCCTAGTAAATGCTAACCGTGCAGTATTGTTCTGATTCGAGAATCGTGAGGGTTGAAAGCCATTTTTGAGTATGTTATGTCAACCGTTCAGCTCCGAGGAACAAAGCTTGTGGATGGCCATCAACAGTCTTTTTTGTGGGTACACCTTGTACTGCTCACTCACGCGAGAACGTTGCACTCGCTGAAACCCGAGGTCTGTAGCGTACCGCAGAGAGAGGTATGATGAAACTCAGCATGTTTGAAGATTCATTCCTCCTTACAACAGGCATTTGTTTCTCGCTGCTCTCGGCCCCTCGAAAAGACTGTGGCGTTCTTCCTTTGTTCATGTCTTCGACTTTTCTCGACTACGAACTCGCAGGTCATCGCACGCCCAAAGCTTGCCACCCCCACAATCTACCAGCACGCACGAAGCCCGGCCAACGACCACAGCTGCCTGGGACTCGGCGAGACGACACCTCCAGCAACAACGCGTGCGGGCTTCCGTGCGGAAAGTAGAAATCGCAGATCGACGACGCGGCAATCCGATGCTTCGTGGAACGTGGACGACAGCGGCAGTTGGGCGCAAGATAGAGACAGGGGTGAGGGGGGCTCTTCCGGAAGAATCCAAGCCTGGGAAAAAGACAAGGGACACCAGCTTGACGAGCAGGCAAGATCGTGTACGTCTCTTTCCCCCCTCGCACAGAACCAAACTGTAGGTCCGACCGATAGTGGTGTATCTTCAATCACCACCCAGGAACATCGACGCCGTTCTAACGCACGGAACCATAGTGCGAGTGTCAAATGTCGCGCAGGATATCACATGCCCCACGTCTCTTTCCTTGCCGTGTATTGGACGGTGGTGATGAAGACCCAACGCGGAAAAGAGAGGGTTTGATGCCATTTGCAGAAGGTCATTTTCTCGGAAGAGGTACAGGTGGACAGAGAACGATGCAGTCTGTTTGTCCCGTAAACGAAAATAATCCCCATGTGCGGTGTGCGCGTATTTTCGTTTTCTATTGTAAGCACCAGCCTCTATTTCTAGAATTATTGGTTGATAAACCAGCTGGGATCAGCAAGGATGAGGGTGCACGCAGGAGGCATTTGAGAGTTATTTTTCTTTGCTGCTTCGATGTGATTATGCTTTAACGCGAAACCATCCAGCTTTGACTGCGTCTTGCGTACGAATAACGAAGTGTATCAATCTTCCTTCTGTCCTTGAACATTGTGACCCCGGTGCGCTACATTTTCAGCTTTGGGGAATAACACGCACGGGTGTCGCCTCCAATCGTGGAAGCATGGAATACTACCGCACGGTTACCACACAGATGAGCGGGGGAGGTAGTTCCCACCTCACAATAGACGAGGGAGAAGCAAGTTTCAGAAGCGAGACGACTGCCACTGGGCGTTCTCGCCATCGTAGATGTCATTCGCGCGTCACACTAACGCGGCCGGTCCCGCGCGACGTCCGGTCACGCAGCCGCGAGAGAGCTACGAAGAATGGGACGAACCAGAAGAAAACGAGAAAATGCAAGAACAAGATCACCATCGAGACCGAGAAATCGACGTTCCTCGGTTCGTCGACAACCCGGCCTTGGACGAAGTCCAGCCCTACGTAGACGACCTCTATTACGCGGTTGCACACCCCCGGTTCGACGCGGACCCTGTTTGTCTCCGACGACAGAGGGAGAACGCCTCCGCAGCGGCAGGTATGGAAAACAGCCACAAGCAAACCATTATCACTCTTGATCTGCCAGATCGTTCTGTCTCAATCCCACATCACACATGAGGCCCTGATGTTGGCGGGCGTCGGCAATGGACCAATGAAGCTTGTTATTTCTGGCGTCAAACGTTTTGCGAATGGCCACGCACATACCAAGATGAACCGCGAGCGCTCCAGCAGCCGACTCCTCGGTGTTGCGTCGTTCCATCATTCGTCAGACAATCGATGGATCGAACGCACGGGATTACAACCGTCGTAGCTTTGGTCGAGACTACGATGTCTTATACAGCTTCTCCCACCCTTTCAGACATAGTGCGGAATCCATGCTCAGAGATATTCTTTGAGCTGGATGGACAGATGATTTCCCCGTGGACGGCCCAACACGCCGCCTGGTTCGCTATGCCCGGAACGGACAATATGGGTGAATGCTGGACCAACTGAACAGTCCTAGCTTAAATACCTCAAGAAAGAGCCAATCGAAACAACGGGTGCTCTCCCGTGTGCTCTTGCGGAAGCCCCCAGCGGTCCCGAAACCCGACCCTTGTCACAGGTGCCCTGAATAACACCCTCGGCATGGTAGATCGGTCGACGAATCATCCGCCGCGGCCGACAGATATGGCCGGGCAGCATCGTGTGGAATCCTTGGAGTGGGGAACTCGAATGCTGATTCGGTACGCGAGCAAAGTCGATCGAGGAGAATAATCGCTCCCAGCGACTTGGAGAAGTCGAGCCAGTTAGCATTGTATCCCTGAAACGCGGTTGTACGCCTCACACCAAAACACGTAACGCGTGTTTGGAACAGACAGCTCGCGGAAGCCAAGCAAGAGGATGCCAAACGTAAATCACTGTTTTTTGCCATTTTCGAGTGCAGCAGGATGAAAAGGTACAAGGTAAAGCCTGCATCATCGGGAGGCAGAGCAAAATATTCCATTCATTCTCGTTAAGCTACGTTCCGCCCCGCAAGGTCAAACTCGGACACCCCACACCGAATCTTTACGCGATAAAACGCAGCGAAGCTATTGATAGGGGTGTATCTTGCACTCACAGGAACGTACGACGGGAAAGAATTAATTTTTTTTGTTGCCGGATGGGTGGCCTTGGTCACACACTTCCGTCGCCTCTCGGTCTCATTCCGTAGAGATCAGCCGTCTTTGTCGAGATGTTCCTCCCTCCGCGCGCGGGTAGGGGTGCTGCGGACAAACCTTGGTTTCACAGATACCCCCCCCCTCCTACTCCCTCACCACCCCTTCCGCTTGATACAGGAACCTAGACGAGGAGTTTCCTTCTCCCATGAGGACAAGGGTGGCCGCCGCTCTGCAGAAGATGCTGATGTTCCAGGACGTGAGGGCAAGCGTGATGGACGCCACCCCTTCGGTCGTGGCGCCCCTGGTGGGTCTCCTCCAGCATCCGAAGGGGGCGTCGTCGAAGCCACCGGGGCGGGGGTTACCCGAGCAAAGCGGGTCGATAAGACGGGAGGGTAAACAAGGGCATCCACAGGAAAAGAAGAAGCACCACCGGGGAGTTTCAGTTCGACGTGCGGGAGCGGGGGACGCAGTTTGTGGAGAGGAAGAGTCTCGGAACCCGACCGAAACTCTGACCAGTAAGGTGAGTCATGAAAGCTCGTCCTGTCGCTAGTACCAATTAGGCTTTCACTCCTCGGTACCCGTCCGCCGACGTGCTATCTTTCACCATCCGGAGCCAAACTTGACCCCTGCCATGCCCGTTGTTTCGCGGATGTTCAGTCCGCTACGACCCTAAAACCAAGAACGTCGTCGGCTCTCACGACCGTCTAAAGTTTGAGAACAATCCTAGCCCCTATGAGACCCCTGGCACGAAAGCAAGCATTTTCTTTGCACCACCCCCCCCCTCCACCACCTATTCCCACCTCTTCGTACCTCGTGAACACAGGCTCCCCTACACGCGGCCGCATGCCTCCGTGTGCTGGCCCTGAGCGAGGGCTTTCCAGAGATCATGGCATCGGCTTCGGCCGTCCCGGCGCTGGTAGACGGGTTCAAGAGCGGTTCACCCCTCATGAAGAGCGTCTGTGGAGGTGCTACCTGCGCATTTCTCGGTTTCTTTGACTGCACACATACAGCATGCCTGACCTGTAAAGTCAATTTTTTGGCCCTCCATACCTTCCCTTCCTATTTCATCGGCCAAATTTCACACGCTGCCCGGTTTAGACTCCTCCGGTCCTGCGTCGGTGGTCGATCGCAATCGTTCCGTGCTTCGGCCTGTATCCCCGTAGGATGTCTGGCCAGCCTGGCGCCCTGCGACGAGGAGTGTTGCATGGAGATGATAGACTTCGGGGTGTTGCCGACCCTGCTCGGCTTCGTTCGGAACAGAGACCCACTTTTCGAGGTAGGGCCATGTCACCAAACCAACAAGCCCAAGCACGGTCCGAAATCAACAGCTCAAAACCCACAACCCGTACCAACCAAGCACGCGGCGATCGAAAAATCCCACATTGTCAAGTAATGACGATGATGCTGGACAAAAGTAAGCGCTGTCGAGATATCACAAACGGCTTTACTGTCACAGCAACTTCAGACACAATATCACAAATATTGTCTGTGGCCGTGGTTGTTATTGTGGTTGCTGTTAAGATGGTAGTTGTTGAGTAAATATTATGTTATCAAACGCTGGGCATGCCCCTCGTATCCCTTCCTGCAAACGTTTGTAGGTCCATCCCCGGTTTTCCACGGGTCGTCCTGGACACCGCTTTGACCCCCAGCGAATAATGATCGTGCACCATTGTTTTCTTGCGATGCACTGCTCGTCGTCCAAAGCTTACCGCTTGGAGAGTGCTGGCGGCCATCATGCGGGTTCGAGAGGCACGCGAAGCATTCGTCAAGGCCGGGGGGACGGAGCTCCTGGAAGGCGTGCTGACAAGGGTAAGTGTGAGAGGCAAGGCGATATGTGTTCCATGCCATTCGCTGGGGGGGTCAGGTGTGATACTGAAGTAGGAGTCGAGTGCTGACAGCAGGAAAGGTAGGACTGCTGGTGCTTGACGCTAGTTCTGTTGTAGGGCACGATCGGCTATGAAGTGTAGCGCGATCAGGCGGTGTGAAAGTCTCATGGTCCAGCAGGTTTCACACGCTAGGTGTTCCATGGTGAGCAAGTCTAGATGATGGTCATTCAGCGTTTTCATGCGTGCTTGCTGCGAAGAAAAAGAGAGGAGGATCAGCACTATTCAGCACCCACCCCCTCTTTATTTTCACCGCTTATGTTCACCCCCCCGTGCTCCTTGCCGCACTACGCCACGAAACAAACGTTGACAGAAGCAGCGCAGGACGGGCTTGAACCGTTTCCTTCTCGCCATCCAGGAAAGCGCGATGCGGGTGAGCAAAAAAGGATGACTCAAACCGCATTTTTGCCTTGGACGGCTATGTCGTTGGCCAGCTGGTAATGAATTCAGAGGTGCTTGCTAGTTCTGCGAAGGAGGCGGACATAGTGCGTGTCCCTCTGCTTCGTGTTGACCGTCAGTCATTCCCACCAGCCAGCAACCAGTCAGCAATAAGAAGCAACTGGACGCACAATATCCAGCACAGAATGAATTCCCCATTACAGCCCCACGGAAACACATTAAATGGACCTTCACCAAAGCTTCCAGGATACGAAAAATGATGTAAAAAAATGTCGTGTTTCTTATCACGAGCCCACACGTGTGCACGCAGGTTTTCTTGAAGCTATGCGAAGAAGAGGAAATAGATCAAGACGAACGCGACAAAGAGCAGGAAAAAAACAACGGCGGCAGAGGTGACTCCAAAGCTATCAGCCCGACAATCCCGTCCATGCTCCTGCTCGACGACAACAGAAGCAACGCCAGCGGCAGCAGTGGACATCGCCGCAACGACGACAGCGGCAACAGTACCGACAAAGGCAACGCCGAAAGAAGAGACTTGAGGAAATTCGGGAAGGGGGGAAGGGCAGGCGAGACAGACAAGATCAAGCGGTTGCCAACATCATCGTCCGTCCCTGATAGAAGCGGTTGCAACAGCGACGGCGAGGGCGGGGATCAATCGTCCGCATCCCCTCGTCTCGAAACCATGGGCGACTTCGTGTCGAAAGAGGGGGTATTTCGCGGCCTCTTGAGGCAGATGAAGGGGGGCACACAGGTCTCCATGAAGACATCGGTAGAGGTGAGACGGGTATCTCTCGCGACTGGCCCGCCGCCCTCCCGCTGAACCTCTTCAGGACCCGAACGTTAGGTCTGGTGGCGAGGTGGTACATATCCCTTTCTCACCAGCAGTGATGAACGCACCCGGTTCACCCACAAGTCGATCTTTTTGTCGTTGTTGCTGTTGTTGTTGTTGTTGATACCTCTACACGAAAAAACGGGGCGATATGGATACTGTAGTTTCGGCTGTAGAGCGTGAAGCGGGAAGTTCGTTTGTCAAGAATCCAACCATGCCTGTTCCTAAATCCCACCTGGGGAAGAAGGGCCCGGAGTAGCGGTGACAACACCACCAGAATGGATACGTACGTCAAAACAAAGTTAATCATCCGACGGTAGCATTTCATCGGCTGGCTGATCATTCGAAGCCTTGGTCAAGAAGTACCCCGGCGTGCTTCATTTCAGGTGCTGAAGGTGACGTGGAGGGCTTGTTCCAGCAGACAGGTGGACTCGACGATGCCCCTGGTGCTCGAGATGCTGGCGTCCGATACATGGATGCTCAAGTCCGCGGCCGCTCAGGTCAGCAGCCATAGAGATCCACAGCAATATATGATCAGTGCCGCACGTTCTTTACCTGGACGTTTTGTGCGGTATGTGTACCTGCACATTATCGTCGAAAGTCCGACCGTCATGCCTGGCCTTCGCTGTAAGGACTCGGCGCAAAGGACGTTGTTCGTGATCAAACACGCTGGCATCCCCGACCGCGACCGCCGTCGGTTGAAAATCAGGGTATAGTCATCGCTGAGTACGTGACACTCAGCACCCTGGGCTACTCGTGATTTCGAGTTACGAGGGTGTGCGATTCAGTCGGAGGGTGGTATCGACGATGACTCTTCAGGAGACCGAATGCTGAAAAGTTACCAGAATATCTGTATTGTCAGCCAATCAAGCAGTACCGAGCACCAACATACACGAAGCGCACTCTGCGTAGCATGAAATGAAGGAAAGAGGGGACGATTCACAACGCTGCATGACGCCGCCTACCAAACCTCTATGTGCTACTACCAAGCGCGACCGTCTTGAAAGTTGAGAGTTATGGCCACCTATGATGGCCAGCGGCTCGCTCCTACGGCGCGCTGAAGCACTTCGTAGCCCTCTCTCACGGTCTCAAGCGTTATGACCTGCGGTTTCTACGACGTTCGTGCTTCTCGTGAATATGGTGGCTCCGTTTACCAACACGACGACAACTGATCAGACTATGTTCAAGGCAATGAGCTTCAGTTTGTTCCATTAGGACAACAAACTTACAGGTGCATGTATTCACAGCATGGCCTTGTTCGCGGCCATGACTCGGAGTGGCCAGCGTTCTTGCAGGCCGAAGGAAAACACAGGATGGACTGCCTACCTACAGTACCCACAGGAGAGGGCTCAGCACGGCTTGAAGTGCGATCGATCGTCGATATTGAAGACCTTTGGTCGTCCTTCGCTCTGATGAATGCCTTGAACGTTGTCAGAACACTTGAGCCACCGTCTGTGTCGATCTGAAGATGTTCGCTAGCTTGGCGAGTTATTGCCCGAACGTAATGTCTTGGGCATGAGAATGCGGTGTCAAACTCGCCTGTTCTCTCGCTGCTTAAAGTGTGTGGTGCGCATCCACTATTATCTTGTAGGTGGTTTTGCACGTGTACCAGGAAGACGATCAGCGACTGAGGTGCGCCGCGTCCGGTGGGGTGAAGTCACTCATCGACACGATTCGTACAAAAGCGCCACAGATGCAGGTACCAGGGGGGCGCAGAAAACACCGCATTACGAAGTACTTGCTTCTTTGCTTTCGATTGCTTCTCTGCTGCATGGAACAACATAGACGTGTGTACCGGACCTTCGTATGGACCCCATGCCCAGCCTTGAGCACAACTGTTACGGCGAATATAAAAAACCATCTTCGCCCAGGGGTTCTCTTAGACAAGCGCGCCACGAGGAATGATCTATAGCAGTTAGTTCACCCATTTTCCCCGAGAATGTGGCCCAAGCGTCACTTCTTTGCCACGTAAATTACAGGCGGGCACCTTGGCCGCCCTGCTGAGCCTGTGCGAGCATCCCGACGTGCCGGCGGTGGTAGCCGCGGCGGGAGGTTTGGAAGTCCTGGCGGAGTATCTCACCACAGCACGAGACACAACCACCAGGTACCAGATATTTGAACGTCTTTTGATCGAACGCTGTCATTGTGGCCCGAGTCGTCGGTGTTACTGTTGTTATTGCCATCGTCGTCATCACTTTGATGGTGATGGCGTGGTGATGTTGGTTGTGTCTGTTCTCATTCCTCGGTATCTGTTCAACAGGATGGTACTCTCGCCTCTGAATCACGTGCAACCCTGGATAGGAGTATCGTGGCTGATTGAGTGGTAGACTACAGAACTGTGGAGGCGGAGAAAGGGCATCACTTGCTTGGCGGCCGTTGGACGGGTTCACCGGAATTCTCGCTAGCACCCTCTTTAAGCTGCCCGCTCCACCCCATTAACTCTCAGAGTCCAACGCGACACGTTCCTCTCCTGTTCACCTTGCTGACATTGTTCTTCGCTTTCTCTACATCCATTCCCATTCCCAAACGGTCCTGGGGGTAAATCGTTCGTGTGCACTGCCTACCCAAAAAGGTACGTCGTGCTGGCTGTGATGAAGGTTATCCTGGTTTGCGAGAGGCTGGCCGTCGAACCCTACTTGCCAGACATGGTGAGATTAAGGTGGGCCACAACCACCCCGGGTATGTACACACGTGCTCAGTGAGTACAGAGGTTGAGTGTGCGCGAAATTGACTCAAACCGTGCGACGGCACGCCCTCTAAAATGTTGAACCTATTCCCCCGGCGCATGTCTGTCAGGTCTTTCATTCCAGCGACTCTTCCGCCCCGTACGTCACCCTACGCATATGCATATTTGAACCGCTTTGTTTGGTGCTTGAACTCCTCTCCGGTCGATTCTAGCTCATCAGCGAGCACGTCTTGGGCGCGAGCGACGAGATCGACGAGTTCGTGCGAGCGTTCGTGGAGAAGAGGAAGGCTTCGGACTACCTTCCAGTCGGGGTGGCGAACGTGTGTCGCTTTGCGGCGAAGGACATCGCAGAGTACAAGTTAACCTTCAAGGAGGTACACGAGAACAAGATTGTCCGCACATGCATCAATCATCCGACGAAGACACAGCTTCACACAGAATTATCCCCCTCTTCTTGTATTTCGTAGAGGGAAACCCCTACAGCACGCGGTCAACCGAGGGCTTACGGGGTGACGACAAAGCTACATAGCAACAATGACGATTCAACAACCCCCCGCGCGGTTCATAGCGCGCTACTTTTTATCCAGCATCTCTGTGTGTTCTCACTGCGCCTGATCTACAAGGCTAGATGATCTGAGCGTTTGTGCTAGAACAACGTTCATTCGGAATCCCAGTGATTTTCAATTTTGCAGAACAGATCGGGACTTCTCGTCATCCCCAAGCCCCATCCCCATTCATTCGTCACGCTCATCCTTTCGCTGCCATGTGGACTGAGTCAATGAAAAAGGAAACAAAACGTCAAGTAGTTGTTCACTACAGTAAAACCAACTCCCGGCGTATATTTGTGACCTCAATGACAAACATACCATATCCGAACATGGTTGATGATGGATCCTTCCACAGCTAGATAAGGATGCAAGTGGTGCCCTGGACGAGCGAGAGCTAGGAAGGCTACTTAAACAACTCAAGGTGCGGGAGAAATGTGGGGTTTCGAATGCCCTCAATATTCCTGGCAAGACTACGTGTCGAACAAATCCTTGAGGTGTGCTTACGGTAGTACACAGTTTTTGCAAGATGTCACCCTGAGTTTATGAGAGTATCGTTGTGATGGCGGAACCCTTGTTGTGAGAGTCAGTTTTGCCAAACATTCGAAACATACACATTAGGTGCAAATATATATCACCAACTATGCCTTCCTTGTGGATGACTCTGCGTCCAAACCCCTTACGGAGTAGTACAAACTCTACCTATGAGTCTGGAACCCACCTGCTGCGTAGATACGCTCATGTCTTTCCACGCAGCTATTCGCCAAGCGATAAAGACGTCGGATGCCAAGTCCATATGAAACACCACCAGGCGATGAACACCCATATACACATTTAACCTGTTGTGGTTTCACGTCCTTGTTCCGGAAGGTGGACTCAAGAAAAAAGACTGTCAAGAGCGTCCTACTCGCCGTCGACAAAAACAACAGGTGAGACGAGAGTACCGAAAAATACGACGAGTGCAGAAGCATCGAGCATTTTTCAGCCAAGCAGAGAAAAATGGGATACGCAACTATGAATGTAAATGTTCTTGGCACATTGCGTTTCGGACGTGATCTGGAAGTACTTCCAACGGGGGGTTGTTGCAATGAGAAAACAAGCAAGGTCTTTATATTGAAGGATCAGAAAACTTAATTCATATTTGAGGCTGGGTGTCGCGAGCAAAGCCATTTGGGAATGACAAAAACTACTTCTGCCGGAGCCCAAAAAGAGCGATACGCAACTAGAGAAATACAGCAACAGAGTGGACGGAGACCATTGTTCAACTAGTTCACTGGGGACGATACACGATCAGTGAAAGCACAACAGGTCGTTCACTAGGGACAATTCAACACCAAATGAGGAGTAAAACTCCGGTGGGGGGGGCTCTTGATGTTTAAACTAGACGAAACAAAGATTCCGAATTACTCGTCGACGACCGCAGCGGCATGGTTGAGTTTGACGAGTTTCTGGACATCATGTGGGATATCAAGCACGCCAAGGGGAAAGCACGAGGTCTCCTATTCGGCCGAGCGGGCATATTTCTGGAGGGGACGTTCGCTGCGGCGCAGGCGGCGCATCGTGGCAAGACACCGCGCCGACAGCAGGTGAAAACTTCCACCTCTGTCGGGGAGGGCGAAGATAAAGTCCCTTCTGCCACACGAACAAGAAGCCGACAGGAACGCTTAGACACTTCCAACACGACCGCCACCTCAATAGCGACAATGGAAGAAGGCCAGCAGCACGGCCAAGAGGATCTGCTGCAAGATCGCCAGCAGGCAGCGCCGGCGGCGGCAGTGAAGACGACGAGCGTCGCTGGCACGATCGTAGCCCGAGGAAAGGAGGCCACGCTCTCCTTCCTCCCCAAGATAACTGTCAAGAAAATGACGTGGAAAGGATTCTCATAAAGTAGACAGGGCCTACGCTCTCGAGATAATTTTCATTTCGCTGGTGGGGACACTGCGCCAAGTAGACGACGCATAGAAGCATGAAAAATTGAAAGGAGACCTGTGCCTTCCACTAAGTAGAATGAAGCCCCGTTGGGAAACGACTGTGGTAGGTTTAACAGATAGTGATCGTTTCTGGTGAATGCCTCTGACTCCGTTTCTCTGTGTTGCTAAACTTAATTGTTCGCCTTGGCGTTGCTCACCCCTTGAGAGTCTTCTTTCGGTGGCATTCCACATCCACGAGCGGCGCTGATCCCTACTCCGCTGCCAGACTGCATTTTCTTGGGTGAAAGCTGTCTATCCTTTTGTGTAGGTATTGGAAAACGAAAACCTTACGGGCGCTTCGTAAACCTGAATCGCCGGTTGCTTACACTCGTCGGCGGCGTTTCGCTGCTGCTCATATTGCGCACACCACACTCGATGATCCCCAGCCACCCCCCGTACGGATGTACTTCAATACAAACTCTGTACCATGTATGGCAAACGACAACAGCAAACGCCCACGAGCCAGCCATCGAGCAGTTCAAACCCGGCGCAGTAGCGAAAACAGGGACAAGATACAAATGGTAATGGAACACAGAACACAATCAATACACCCTTACTAGCCAACCGCCATCAGTCCGTCATGTCACTATGCATTCCAACAAAAAGCTAGCAAATGTACCGACGACGAGCAAAAGGTGACGCCCGAAAAAAACAACACGCGGTGGCCGTCACAATCACCGCCAATGAAAGCTATGATGCTCGTCGAATAGAAGGGCGGAGGCAAAGCACAACGCTAGAGGTTAGTTTAGACATGGATAGGGGACCAATATGTCTGACCCATTGTTGAACCTAAGCTCCGCGCACGGGATGTGTCACACACCGTGGCCGACCCAACCCCAGCACTATCCCAACTCTAACCGTCACCCACGGCCAACGCACAGCCTGGCGGCCGACAGCGAGAACGCGGCCACGTCGCGTTCTGGGAATCCGGACGGCGAGAGGACGCTTGAGAGGAATCGACCGTTAGAACCATCGCCAGACCAATCAGAGAGCCTTCGTCCTTAAGATGCTCCGGTCATTGTGTAAACACTACGTCGAAATGGTCAACGTGATACTTTCGGCGTTACATAGCGGTGGGTCCACGCTGGTCTAGTCTCACCTCTCGCGATTGTCCGGAGGGGCTTGGCAGCACCGGAGACTTGCTCCCGTTGGCGTCCACGACCCACCGACTTGTAAGACGTAACAAGTTACAGCTACACTGCAGTAGCAAGAAAACTCATTCAACTACCTTTGTCAGTCGCGGAGGCTATGTGCCACATCATGATCGATATGACAGCGGGCCGAATACCACTTCCTATTGTTCACAACTCTGACTTACGACCTCTTCATCGGAAAACATACCCGGAGGGATCGACGAGTGTTGGCGGTAAGTGTCATTGGTATCAACACGGCACAGAAAAACGAGAGGGCCAACACCGTTCGGGATTCATCTGTTGCGCCCCCCGTAGGCCATCATCATGCTTGACGCATCATCGTCGCGAGCACCGTACATCATGGACATATAAACCGAAGCAAAAGATGCACCAACAACATCGCCATGAATAGACGCAGCTCACATGTCCTGCGCTACTGTTTCTCTGTCCCAACGTACCTGCTCACCCTCCCGATCGTCTATCGACTGACTCTAGACCTACAAAAGAAACACTCTGACAAGGTCAAACCAACTGTTCGTGTGTTTGGATACGGACCGGTTAGATTTACCGGCAACAACAGAGGGCACGCAGATGGGGCATATGTACACCTTGAAATGGCTGCATGTGCGGGGACCCCTCGAACTCCGAAAAGGGCTTCACTTCTCCCTACTCCCCTTGCGTGTCTAATACAAGAGATAAAACTTCCTCCCCTTTTAAGTAAAGGACATATACGAACACACTAGTGTCAGTCCCTCGAGGGAGAGTCCATTAGGNGAAAAGGGCTTCACTTCTCCCTACTCCCCTTGCGTGTCTAATACAAGAGATAAAACGTCTTCCCCTTCCAAGTAAAGGACATATACGAACACACTAGTGTCAGTCCCTCGAGGGAGAGTCCATTGGGAATGTCAGGTCGCAAAGATGGGGGTGACTCCTCCAGCGACTCTGCGGCGGAAGACAGAAAGAGGTCAAGAGAAGAGCTCGTGGCCCTGAGGACGCAAGTTAGCTCGCTGACGGATCAGATGAGCCAGCTAATGTCGCTAGTGGAAGATACCATGAAGGCAAGCAAGAAGGAGGAGCCAGCTGGCACCATGGAGGGTGCCGCTGATCGCGGCGATGCTAGGGAGAGCGCCGCCGCGGAGTCCACGAACGCCGAAGGAGGGGCACCGTGGACCGGGAGTGCGCAGGACGGGAGGTACCTGCGCGAACCTGTTCGAGAGTCTGGCCCGTCAGGGCGACACAGCGGCGAAGCAGGGGGCTTTGTCCCCCAAGAGGTGAGAGTAGCCGCTGCTCACAACCAAGATTATAGTAGTGCCATGGGAGATGGTGGTGCTGCTGTTGGCTTTGGATACGGAGCCACAACCCCAGCGACGGGGTACCAATGTGTGCGGTACACTTCTGCTCTGTTCAGCGGCAAATCGAAAGATTTCAACGAATGATTTCCGCATGGCAGCTAATGGGGCAAACCTGTTGGAACAATTTGAAGAGAGCGGGAGCTTGAAGATCCCCGTCAACAGCGGAAAGAGCAAGTTTTCGCTGTCACGGCAGTACCGGAGCGAGCAAGTAAAGCACGCATTCCACGCGTGGAACTTCCTGTCTCACGCGTTGAAAGAAAAAGATCGGAAAATCATGAAGAGGGCAGAGACGCCCCAGGGAGCTCTTCGTGAGCTCAAGACCATACACGACCCTGAATCATCTGTACAGCCGTCTGAGAACCTCAAGTCCCTGACGTCGACCAAGATCTCTAGAGGTGAAAACCGCCAAAACGCCCGAAATGAGGTGCTCCAAACCGCAAAGTCTTTGTCCGAGGAAGGACTAACTGTCAACGAAACGTTCGTCCTTCACCTCTTCCTGGATGCCCTTTCGGACGAGTATGCCATGACAAAGCACAACCTGCGACACGCGAAGGAGTTGACGCCGACCGGTGTGCTAAAGGAAGTAATGATCGAATACATGGCGATCAAGGACAAGCTGGAGCAGGGGAAAGGAAAAGGGGCGAAGGGCGCAGAGCAAGCGTACTTCGCCGACGGTGAGGGCCGCAGGGAGCGGTACTCAAGTAGGAGTCAGGGGCAAGGTCGTGGTCGTGGCGGCGGCCGTGGCCGCAGCAGCAGTCGTGGCCGCGGCGGAGGTGGTCGCGGCGGCGGCGGCGGCGGTCGCGGCGGCCGCTCAGGCGGCTCCGGAGGAATCGGGGAGAGCAAGGGAAGCAGCAGTGGAGGCGCCGATGGCGGCGGTGGCGGGCACTATAAGTTCCCGGGCCGGTGCTTTAGGTGTGGACATCGTGGACATCAAGCGATCGGCTGCACTACCAACGAGAAGGACTTCGTGCCGTGGTGTGCGCGCTGCGAGGGGTGGGGCCACACCAAAGAAAAGTGCGCGACGGAGGAGGCCGTCCTAGCGCAAGTGGTGGAGCATGGGAGCGACGTGGACTCCGTGGAAGACCAGGCGTTTTGTGCCGTGGCAGTCCCCCCAGGCGAGTGTGGTACCGTTGGTGAAGTAGGTCTAGTGGGGGTTGTGGAACAAGGCCAGGCGGTGTACGTGGCCGACACAGCGGCCACGTGCTCCATGTTCCGATGTGCAGACAACTTCGTGAACTACCGTGAGCGTAGCGGTTGGGTGAAGGGGATCGGAGGCGACAAGGCCCCCGTTCCTCTTCTAGGATACGGAGATGTGACCTTAGTCCTACAGACGGAAGATGGTGGAGTACCCGCACCAGTACTGAATGCTGCCTATGTACCAGAGGCCCCCTACAACCTCCTCTCGCTGTCTTCATTGGCGGAGGAGGGCCGCACGTATTCGGGGATGAATGGGGGCCTCACGCTGACCACGAATGCCGGGGTGGAGGTGTGGTTCCCCCGGACTGGAAAGCTGCTGACCCAACGAGGCTATCAAATA